TGGACATCTAGCTGACGCATAGTCCAGTTGTGTGTTACAGCAAAAGAAAATAATTACCGAACGGTTTTCGGTTTAACAATAGGACTAAAAGTATCGAAAAAATCCTCGCCGGCGACTTGTTTAAAACCCTTCGCGACAAGCCGTTCCTTGTAACGCTCCACAGTGCCATCCGCCTTTCGCTTCGTGCGAAAAACCCACTTGCACCCGATTATATTCATCTGCGGCGCGGGCGGTACTAGTTTCCAAGTGCTGTTGTGTAGTAGAGCATTAAACTCGTGATCCATTGCGTCACGCCAGTGCGGGTGTCCCACGGCTTGGGAGTAGCAAGTTGGATCCACGAGTGCAGTAAGGGCATGGAATTGCTCACCCATGCCCCGTGTCATGTGCAGTAACCGCATAGCATGACCTTGGCCATGTGGTTGAGCCTTGGCGGTCTTGCGCCGTCCTGGTGCGGCCGCGGTAAGGCCCTCTATTGCAAGAGGTGGCGAGACAGATGCAATAGGGGCGGTGTGCTGCTCAACCGGGTTGGCCCATGGTATGGCTTGCGTGACAATTGGACCGCAACCCCATGGGGTGGCCTGCTGTTGCGAATGCACCTGTATAGTACCATCTGTAGCAAAAGGAAAATTAGTTTCATCAAACTGGACATGCCTACAGATATAGGTTTTACCCGTATTTAGGTCCATGCATCTATAACCTCTAAAAGACATAGGATACCCTAGAAAAACACAAGGAGCTGACCTATACTCGATTTTGTGACGGTTATAGGGCCGTAGATACGGGTAACAGCGACAGCCGAATACCCGTAGGAATGAATATGTAGGCTGTGTTTTATAGAGGCGATAGTATGGTGTTTCAAACTGTAGAGCAGACGAAGGCAAACGGTTGATTAAGTAAGTGGCGCTCTCGAAAGCTGAATCTAGTGTTTTAATGGTACTGAGGCTTCTGCGAGTAGTGCTAACCCGGTTTCGACAATGTGCCTATTCCGGCGCTCTACTCGCCCGTTTTGTTCGTGTGTATAGGCACAGGATTGCCTGTGCACAATACCTAAAGACTCAAAAGTTTTGTGTAACCGACGATATTCACCACCAATATCGGATTGTATGGATTTTATAGAACGTTCAAATAAACGTTCTACCATGACACGAAAAACATCAAACACTTTATATATGTCTAATTTTAACCGTAAGGGATAAAATCAGCTATATCGTGAATAGTCATCCACGAATAAAATGAAATATTTAAAACCGTTCACCGACAAAACAGGTGATGGACCCTAAATGTCCATGTACACAATATCCAATACATTATTTGCAGAATGTAAAACCCTATCTAAGGGAAATCTGGAGGATTTGTCGAGTTGGCAAGTCAAACACATCCCGGACGAACTGAATTGACCCGAAGAAACTGGACATTGTGACAGAACCCGCTTGAGTACTTGAACATGCGGATGCCCCAACCTGTTGTGCCATATGGTTGGAGTAGCCCGGGCACTTAGGAACGCAACGGGAGACCGTGGGATTGACAACTTGTATAGGCCATCCGCACTAGGACCTTTAAGCAAGATTTCCTTGGTGGCTGAGTCCTTCACAACAAAATGAGATTTATGAAACTCAAAGAATACGCTGTTATCATTAGTAAAAAGATGTACAGAAAGTAACGGGACAGACAATTTTGGGACATGCAATATATTGGATAATTGTAGATTTTTAGAAACAGTGACAGACGGAACAGATACATGACCAACACGAGATATAACCAAACCTGTACCATTGCCGACCCTTAAAACATTGCCGCTGGTGTAATCCTCCGATGAACCAATCATAGAGGCGTCGCGAGTGGCGTGTGCAGTGGCACCGGTGTCTGGGTACCACGCGTCGGCAGTGGAGGCAGCTAGGGAGTCTCCGGTGACGGCGACATTCGCCTGAGCGTGTGGTTGCGGTGCATATCGCTTAAAGTAGGACACGGCAGTGTGTTCGTGCGAGCGACAAATCTGACAGCGTGGAGGGCCCCGCGCACCACCGCGTCCACCACCGCGGCCTATGCCGTTCCTGCCACGTCCAGAACCTCCTCCGCGTCTGCCCGAGCCTCCAACGGCGAACTGTGGAGCACCGCGTCCAGCATACATCGCCTGAGGCGATCCACCAACCGATGTCACCCTGGCCTTGGAGAAGTCATCAGCATATATAAATTCTTGTGCCTGCAAGAAATCAGAAAGCTGGGGGATTGAAACGGGAGTACCCGACACTACTAGAGATGCTGCCATCGATCGGAATTCCGGGAGCAACCCCCGGAACACATACAGATTTTGCTCATCAAGGCTCATTGGACGCCCAATGAGCGCAAGCTGTTCAACCAGGAGATGTGCACGGCCAAGGTACTCGGCTGCCGTGTTGTCACCTTGCCGGAGCGTTTGAAATTGGCCGAGGAGGTTGAGACACCGAGCCCGCGTGGATGAACCGAGAGCTGCTGCTATGGAGAGCCAGACGTCCCTGGACATGGTTTGTCCTACCGCCAAGTACATGACCTCGTCCGAGAGAGACGAGATCAACAAGGACAGTATGGACTGATCCTGTTGTACCTATATTACGTGCGGTGGGTTTGGAGTCGGTGTGGACGTCGAACCCCCGGAGGCATCATCGCCGGAGGGGGCCACTAGAAGAGACACCGGAGGACATGGGAAATCTCCATCAACATAGCCTAGCAGGCCATGACCTCGGAGAAACGGGATGATCTGAGTTCTCCAGAATATGTAGTTTCGGGTATTGAGTTTCAGGGAAACAAAATGGTGGGTGGTGGAGAGTGAGTTTGTGGTTGGCGGTGATTGGGTGGTGGCGGCCGTAACCGTACGTTCGGAGGAGTGCGTAGACATATTGGTTAATTGGGTGGAGAGAGAAACCTAACACTAAGCTAATACCAGATGAGAGAATTGATTAATTGATTAACTGAAACTGTTACACCAGATACATTCCTAATAGAGATAGGAAGCTGAACCTATGCCTACACAATAGGGGAAGTCCTATACAACAGGAATACAAAGTCAGAAAAGATAATAACCACAAATATATATTGACAGGCATCACATACTTCCCTTTTCTCAAAGGTGAAGTAAGGTTAATTAACCCTCGAGTCTAGACTAGGTTATCATTTCCTAATTAGAGTTAAATCATGTTAATTAATATCATCAAAGCCATCTCTCATCTCCCTTATTCAACCAATTCAAGGTCACATCTCCATGAATCTAATTTACATCTCATCTCCCTTTTAAGATAATTACTCACACATGATTATGTTATACATGACAATAGATTCAAGATCAAAAGAGTAATCCATAGCAATCACAAAGGAATAGATTAAAATAGCAAGACAATAAATAAAAGTGCAATGAAATGGAATTAGAATTGACTTTTTTTTTTTTTGAATGTGAATTAGAATTGACTTATCAATTAGGAGATAAATTGTGAATCAAAGTCTTCTATCGTTGTGTCCAAAGTAATAATTGAACTTGAATCTAGAACTTATATTGAAGTTGGAATTGAAATTGAAATTGTAATTTGAAGTCTAGAGTTCTCGGGGCAAGAAAATTTGACTGAGTATGGAGGTTGAATTCACTAAAGAAGTAACTAAAAAAAATTGCAAAAACCCCAAATAAGATTTGACTTCTTCCACTTATACGTCTTGAATGTCCTGTGCTATGATGCTTGTCATACCGTGATTAGTATCGTGACTGCTTTGATTATGTTGAGGATGCTTGTGCCTCACGAAAAACCTCACATCGTGATGACCATCTTGACACATTAGAAGGGGATGTAACATTACTTTTTTTTTTTGTTAATATAAGAATAATTTTTCTTCTGGAATATAATATTTTAAATTCTTATTTATCAAAATAGAGTGCGTACTTCTTAAAGAAAGATGTTCTTTTTTGCCTACTATGTCATCATCATATTGTTGTAAATTTATATCGTAATATAAATTAATGTTTCAAATGTACTACCATGGAAGTTTAAATAATATTTAAGGTGTTGTGGAGTTATAAATATTATTTTAAGTTTGGTAGAAAGTTAATTGAGAAATATGGATTTTGCGGAAAGTTGGAACCAAAATAGACTTTTGAGGAAATTCGCAAGAGACTCAAATGGGACAACGATGATCTTGCTTGCCGCAGTTACATTCTGAATGGTATGTCTGACACCCGCTGATGTTTATTAGTATGAGGAGTCCTCAAAGGACCTTTGAGATGTACTTAAGGGGAAGTACATATCTAAGGATGCCTCAAGCAAAAATTTCTAGGTTAGCGAATTTAATGATTATAAAATGGCAGACAATCGTCTAGTTATGAAACAGTTCCATGATATTGTCAGGATAATTGGGCAGATGAGGCAACACAACATGAATATGAATGATTCCAATGTCATTGCTTGTATCATTTACAAGTTGCCATGTTCATAGAAAAGGGTAAAATGTACCTTGAAGCATAAAAAGGAAGAGCTTACCATGGAACAATTGGGCATTGACCTTCGGATTGAGGAGAGAATTAGATTGCAGGAAAGTAAGAATGCAGGTGGTGTCAAAGTTACCGGGGCTTCACGTTCTATCATCAACTACGTCGATGATGGCAAATCAAGTGAGAAGAGGGACGGAAATAGGCTAGGCCTCTTTGTAGGGGCCTATAGCTTGTCATGGCAAATTATGCTATGGAACCGTGTCCACCTTACAAGGTGGACACAGTTTCAAAATTGTTCATCATTATGAATATATAGTTCAAAAATTATGGATATATAGTTCTATAATTATGAACATAGAGTTGTGAACATAATTATGAACATATAGTTCTGTAATTATGAATATAGAGATTCAATAATTATGAATATGAAGTTCAAAAATTATGAATATATAGCTTTATAATAATGAAGATATAGTTCAGTAATTATGAACATAGAGTTCTGTGATTGTAATTTTGTAAATATAAAGTTCAATAATTATGATATGAAGTTAAAAGAATTATGAATATATAGTTTTATAATTATGGACATATAGTTCAATAATTATGAACATAGAACTGTGTCCACACGGTTCCACAGCATAACGATTGGTCTGTCATAGTTTGGGCCTAACCTATTTAGTAAAAAGGCCAGACTTACGTTTATTTTAAAGTCTATTTAGCTAAATAGGCCCATGCCTATATGTACAAGGCCTACCCTTCAAGCCTATAGCCTTGGCCTATATATTAAATAGGTTTTTAAAATGGCTTCTGGCTAGGTCAGGCCAATTGTAGGCTTAGGCTGAGCCTAATAGAAAGCCTACATACAGGCTCAGACATTAGATTTCTATAGTAGGTCCAGACCTAATTATCTAAAGTTTGGCTCCGCCTAGCCTATTTCCATCCCTAAGTGGGAACCACAAAGTGAAAGGAAAGCTTCCTTATTAAGTTGGACTTATACATAAACTTTAGTTGCGATACTGCTTGAATTTAAGCACATTTAGTCTGTTTATTTAGTTCACCATTTTTAGCCTTTTATCCATAGGTGAACTATAGAATTTTTTGAATTATAACCTACAACTTTTAGGTTTATATCCCAAACAGTTATACATTAAATGTATATGAATCGGGAAGGCATACTAGTTTTATGGCCTTGACTTAAGAAGATCTTGGGCTACTAGTCTCCTTCAAGTTGATACTTTATCTAAGGAGTTGATCTTTAATGAAATTTTTTTTACCAACTTTCATGGGGTATATATTTAGAATTTTCATCACGATTTGGTATAATTTGTTAGAATTTTAAGTATTTCTTGCCAATGTGATTATTTTTTGGTTATTTAAAGAATAGTCATAACATCTTTAATTTATTGATTTATCTTAAGTTTTTAATCTTGGCCAATTAAAGAATAGCTACAACATATTCAACTAGCTAAGACTATTAAGTTTCAATCACATAAAGGTTAGGCAAGTACTTGATAATTGTCTAATCTTATAATTTTAATTAGTTAAGGAGTACCCCCAACATCCTTAACCAAATTGTAAAAAATGCCCCTCTATAATATGTCAATTATCAATGTCACCCCTGAATTATGAGTGGTGTAAATGTTGCCCCTCAATTATCAAAATGGTGCACATATAGCCCCTCCCGTAACGAACCTGTGGTTCCCCACCGTTGTCCATCGCTGGTACTTCGAATCGAGGGAGGGAAAAAACAACTAAATTACATATTTAATCCGACTTAACGGTGTCGTACACTAACGGGGAACCACATGTCCGTTACGGGAGGGGCTATATGTGCACCGTTTTGATAATTGAGGGGCAATATTTACACCACTCATAATTCAGGAGTGATATTGATAATTGACATATTACAGAGGGGCGTTTTTTACAATTTTCCCAATTATATATTAAGTTATTTATCTTGATAACATCAAGTTTTAGACATATCATTTGTGATTAGTTGTATGTAATATGATGGAATTTAGTCCACACACAATTTCGTTATATTTGTATGATTAATGAGGATGAAATACTTGACTATGATCATATTTTATCCTACAGGCAATTATGTATCAGAATATAGTTTAATAGTTTTATCAGTGATTATAGAAATAAATCAATTTATTTAATTTACTTAATGGTATCTATAAATAATAATTTTCCAACTCTATCATGAAGCTTAAGTTTATGATGCAAACTTTAGATCATATTTCTTAATTTACCCACAAGAATTAAGAAAAAGAACATGATTTGTTAAGTTTTATGATAATGATTGTAATGAATCTAATTGAATAAAACTTTAGCCTATATGCAAGTTTTATGTCACTTGATTCTTCAACTCATTTGGTAATTGTTTCATTGTAAAATTTCAGTTAGATCTAATTGAATTTAAAACTTTAGCTCACAGACAAGTTTTATGTCACTAGATTCTTATGACTAATTTGGATCAGGAAGGAAGGGAAACCTCAAGACCACCTAAATTAAAGGTTCCTCTCATTGGACCATCTATGCCAGGTACGACCAATTCAATCCTCTACAATCCAGTTAGCAATGCTTGTCGGAGTGACCTGGATGTCTCTAATCATTCCAGCACACGTTCTTGCCTGCTTTGCCATGGCATCGGCAGCCATGTTTTGCTCCCGCAACACATAAAGCACTTTGACGTCTCACTCGTTCCGAAGCAACCTTTTGCAATTTTCCACATTCTGACGCACAATGCCTCTAGTCGTTGATGTTCCATGTTTTATGTCACTCGATTCTTATGGCTATTTGATAATTGAGAAAAAATATTACCATAAGGGTTTCTTAATTGAGTTTAATAGAATTAAAACTTTAGCCCATAGTCAAGTTTTATGTCAATAAATCCCTCAATCAATTAGATAATAATTTTATCACAATTTCTTAAAATTTATAAATTTAGCTCAGTTATAATTTTAAGTATCATGGTTTGCATTGGCAAAATATGTTGTTTAGTCACTCCCCAAAATTTATCCACATTTAATAATTGATCCACGAAC